CCTTTTCTTGAGAAGTATATCATCAGATGATGTGCTCTATTGCTTTTAATCACACTGAACCAGAAATTCCTTAAACTTAGAATATTGGTTTCAGTGGACTTATTCTAGAATTTATATCATATAAATGTTCACTTAAGAAAAATATGATCCAATGTAAATAATAGAATAACATAAACAAAAGAAAACAAATGGTTGCATTTTACTTTCATGTACCATTTTTAATTAGTATTTTTCTCTATTTAAATTCTCTACTTAATTTTTCCAGCCATTTTGCTTCCATTTTTATAATATTAAACATAATTACAATGTTTAAATGGGTACACTGTTTTTCTTTCAAATATATGTATATATACAAACATATTTTGTATAGAGCTCTACCATGTATTTAATGATGAGCTAGAATTACATTTTTCATTTTTTAGCTGTTAAACAGAATTTTCCTTCTGATGGGATTGGACTTTGAGATGGGAGGTTGGAGAAGCTTCAGTAAATACTGAGAGCAACACAGGCCAGAGTGAGGTCATCTTTACCACAAGGTCATCTTTACCATTAAAGTCAAAAGGGAATAGGCAAAGCCAGGCATGATCCTCAACAGAGAATGAGAGGAGGTGGGCTGTGCATACGAGGGAAGACAATTCATGTAGAATGAAGTACAAAAATCAGTTGCAAACCTTGTTATTGTTGCCAAGAAAACCGGATAAAATGGCTGAAACATTTCAAATACCAGATTATGAATCTGCAAGTCAGAAGACCCTTTTTTGTTATTGAGAAATAATACTAAAGTCTGATAAGTAGTTCTGATGATATAGCCAGACCAAAATCACAAGGAAGCCTGGTTGTTTATGGCACTCTTATTGAAAGAAGAATGTCCCATTATCCAGAGACACACACCATTGATACATAGAATATGAGAAATATGTGCCAAGAAAACATTGAAATTGTCAAAGTAGAAGTGGAGTACATTAGGAGAAATTAGGAGTAAGTGGACAATAGTGCCAGAAGGGAGAATTTTAAATTAGTTGAGTATATAATATACTATTCAGGACATGAGAGCTTAATATGGAATAAAATGGTAGTAAATTCAAACAAAATTGCTAAGTATGTGCTTATCCTTTGTATTGGATTTAGTGGATATAATGTGAAAATTGAAATCAAATTGACCACATCATTGGAAACAGACGATACAGAAGTGCAGTCTAGTTACCTGGGACAGTTCAAATACAGAACAGAACAGACATGAGCTACAGAGGTCAAATATACAGATTACACTTAGAAAATTGAAGTATGTCTGACAGCAAATTTGACCTGGAGGACATAAACCCAAACAATAAAATAAGTGTAAAGGACAGACTTACTTTGTGTAACTTATGTGAAAGATAACTTGAGAAGCTATGGGGAGCAATAAGAACTATTGTGGAATCCAAAACAGAAAATAAAATGCACTGCAAACATTTCAAAGGAAAAGATCCAAGTGGCTTTCAGATGTAGACAGTGTTTTCAGATCACGAGTGCCAAAGTAAGCTAGAAAATGAAAGGCTAGGCAACAAAAAGAACACCCAGTACAATGGCTGCACACAGACTTTCAGTGCCAGGTAAGAAATAAATATACTTCAGAATAACAAACAGAGAGGGAAGGTATAACTACTTAAAGGATCACCTTAGCTTTAAGTAAATTTCTTAAAACAGTGGAATCTTTTTTCTAGGAAAGTATATAACTGAGACGCAGGTTTTTCACAGAGATGAAAACAGAAACCTAAAAACACAGCCTAAAACTATATGTACTGTATGTTGGACAAGCAAAGAGCAGATTAAGTCTAGGAAGGAAAGCAGTGGCAAACTGAAATATAATAATAGAGAGTGAGAATATTTGTATGACAACAAAGATCAGAATATTTAAAGAAATTGTTTACTCGGTGACAAGGCTTCAACTGGTTAAGGAAACCTGTAATAGTAGTGTTTTAACAATCTTAAAGTCACTGCATTGACTATCAGTAGGCTTCCAGGCTCAATTCAAGATATTGATTATTACCTATAAAGCCCAGTATGGCATTGTGTTGGGCTGTATTAGGAACAGTCTTGCTAATTGTGATTCAGCTTATACTTTCTATTGTAGAGCTTGTTAAAGATTTTATTCCCTGAGGGAATAAAAGGACTATGAATTGGATATATTTACTGTCAGTCCTTCAGGGTAGAACAGACTAGGAATTCAATGTCATGTAGGCCAGTACTACTTTTATTGTAAAGCTATGGTAACAAAATCTTGCAAGTCTGAATGTGCTCCCCCCCTGTCTTTGTGAGAACTAGGGGGGGAGTTTTTGGAGGTTTTATTCAGGCACAATCGTGTCCCAAACTCTTTTATCAGACTCTTGTCTTGGTGGAGTCTCCTCCTCCTGTCCTTCAAAGCCATTCCCTCTGGTCTCAACGTTTGTTAGAATCAACCCATGGAATCATTGCTCTTCTACTCTTCTAATCAGGGCTCTTTGCTTTTGATGGAGGCCAGCAGAGAGGACTAAGCACATTATTCATGCTTCAATATGGACTGGACACGGACAAAATAATGCCTTTTTAGAACATTTTAGAAAATTTCATACCACTATTAGATAATGATGTAGTCCGCATTATCCTAGTGAAAAATTTGAAGGGAGGATACATTTTAAATAAATTAGTATTAATGAGCTGAAATAAAATAATTTAATATCAATAGAGAATTTTTGATTATACATATTTTGCTAAAAAGTCAAGTATATAAATTGAACAAATGTTACCTGTCACATAATACAATTTGTATCATTTATGCCTTTAGCCTATAACACAAGCCTAAAATATTCCTAAATAGAAAATTTAAATAGGCGAAGAATGCCTTCTTGCGAATATATAATAAAAGGCTTTTAGTTTACTTAGTAGAAATAAAGCTACAATTACATGGTATTGGCTTGAGCTATTTTATTAATATGCAATTATTGCTTTTAGGGATGAATAACATGACACTAATTCTTCAGCTCACAATGGACTTCCTATAGCATTCAAGACTAACTTAATGGGCCTTATAAAGATTTCCTTGTTATTTTCATTTTAAGTATTGAAAGCTTTTGTCAGTTTAGAAAGAATAATAATAAAGTTTTCCCCTACGTTTGTTTATTATAAGTCTTATATTTAATTATGTTGTTTTTTTTGGTATGTTAGGAATGCTTTCAAATGGATTACGAAATAAGGAGAGCAAAAGAATGACCATTTGACATGGTTTGTTAACATTAAAAAGTTTTAAGAGGTTCCTTAAGTTAATTATTTCTTGGTACCTGTGTGGTAGACAAAACACACTCTCATTTTGCACAGTTGACCATTAAATAAATGATTGTATCCTATGTCATGAACAACTAACTTCTGTGTTGTGCTTGCTGTATCCTGAACATTATATTAAGTGTTTAGTGAAGTAAAGTTTAAAATGTGGAATATCTTTTTTCCCCTTACATAGTAAATGATTCTATTTGTTTGCCTTACAAATGAAAACTGGAGAAGCAGAAAAGGGGGGGGGGAAGCACTAAAGGCTGCATAAAGCTGTCAAATGTCAATATATTCAATTAAAACATATTTTGCCTGTTTGGTAGAGACCTGTTGTAACTTCTGAATTTTCCTAAATGACTTGCATTGGAAATAGTTTGGAAAATCCTAAGCCTGCTGATGTTGTGTTTTAAATATTGTAAATATTGTTAAGATAGAAATGACCATTTGCATGAAATATGGAATGAAATATTAGAACATCCACTTTTAATAACTCAGCATGGTCATGTTTGAAAAAAAAATGAAAAAAAGTTCATGTCTTGCATGAACTTAACACTAACTCGTATTTATTGGAAACCTTAGCAGATATTTATAAGGCTTTTCTGCAGGAGGGAACTTTGATACATGTGATACATGCCAGTCTAGAGAAAAGAAAGACCAGGGGTGATATGAAAGCAGTATTCCAGTATTTGAGGGGCTGCCACAAAGAAGAGGGGGTCAACCTATTTTCCAAAGCACCAGAAGGCAAGACCAGAAACGATGGAAACTAATCAAGGAGAGAAGCAACTTAGGACTAAGGAGAAATTTCCTAACAGTGAGGACAATTAACCAGTAGAAAGCTTGCCTTCAGAAGTTGTGGGTGCTTCATCACTGGAGATTTTGAAGAAAAGACTGGACAGCCACCTATCTGAAAGGGTTTAGGATCTCCTGCTTGAGCAGGGAATTGAACTAGAAGACCTCCAAGATCCCTTCAAGCTCTATTCTGATTGATTTGGCTTGCTTGCTAATACTGTAGTCCCATTTTGTGTTGATATTCAAATTATTATTAATGTGGTTTTGCATAGAGAAATATGTTTAAAGTTGTTAACATGATTTAAATTATTTACCAAAAGTTTTAGTTTATTAAGAATTTTTGGTTCTTTGGGCTTGGAATATTGTGAAGAAGACGATAGTTTTGTTTTGTTAGAAAGAAACTATTTAGATTTAAACTGTTGGATTGAGGTTGCAAAATTATTTTCAATCTTAAATTCACTCCAGTACTGAAACAGAAAGACTGATCCTTTTGGTTCTGCAACAGCAAAGTTTAATTTGTTGTTTCAAAGCTGAATTGCCATTATACTGTATATTGATTATAATAATAGAGCCATGATTATTATGGAGCGTCTATAAACTTTATTTAGTAACTTCAATCTTTCAGTAATTTAGGGCTTAAAAACTATGTTTTTGGAACTACAGGAGATGCTGAGCTTACCAAAGACCCATGACCCTTGTTCAAGACAAGCAATTCATGGTACAGAATGAAACATTAAAGAACTACAAACAAATAGAATTACATATGGTCTGACAAGCATTGCCTTAATTAAAATGAAATGAGATCCAAAGGCAGGGTTTGAAATTTTATCCAAGATTTCAAGTTCTACCAATTGATACATCCTTATTAAACATACCTTTAACTATTCAGAACTTGATTTTAATTTCTTGTGTTTTTATTGTCTTTTTAGATAGCTCATGAATATTAAAGGGATTGAATCTGTACTTTTGGCATTCAGTGGCATTCAGTGATTTCTATCTATCTAGTATTGCTCCTATTCCTTTCCATGACAATATTGCCCATTTCATTGTGGGGCCTCACTTTATGAGGTAAGATTTTTCTTTTACATTACATTAACTATTTATTTTCTAATAATGAATGGTTATCTCTGGGCTGAACAGGCTTACATGGAGGAGGACATTTGGGAGGAGAGGTTAGGGCCAAGCTTGAACATCACTCTGATTATGGGTAAGGGGAGAGATGGTCCAGGGCAAGCTTGGGAAAAATGGCCTCTATGTATTATATTGGTTCTAACCTCCTGTGTTCAATCCCATTTCCAAACCATTAGATTTTTAGAGACCCTGAATTTTGAATGCTATTGCTGCTGCTGCTAAATATCAGGTCAGTCTGCAATAAAAACTCATCTGTGATTTAATCATGGTGGAGAAGGCTAATTGGCATTTGTCCCAAGGCATGATTGGACATGGATTTGAGATTTCCCTTCTTGATAATCTACCTACCTGGATGATCTACCTACCTGGATATCACCAAGGGCTTTGTTTAGTAATGGTGGCTTAGCTATGGCCATCAAGAATAATTTGTTGGTGCTCAGGGGTGCTGTCTCATAGATAATTGGATATGAGACCCTATTTGTTAAGTAGGTCTCTAGGGATCAGCTGGGATTGTTGCTACTATACCATAATCCTTGCTTCACAGCAGCCTTTCTGCCTGACCTTTTAGATTCCATGACTGGACTGGTGATGGAGTCCCCAGGCTTATGGTCTACCTGCATTCTTTGGAAGCAAAATTTGCTCAGGAACTCATGGCCTCTGATAATGAGAGACTTGACCAAGGTCATCAGTGGACTTGTAGATAATAGTGATCATATGGTGGATCTGTTTTTTCTGTTGGGATGATCTGGAGTTGGGGAACACTGCTCTCATATACCTGTCATGGTAACATCACTGATTTTCTTGAAGTTCTTTGGTGATGCTCACTGCCACAGGACATTGGACACAATTAATTAGTCTAATCTTAAGTTCCAGAATGAACTTGAGGTTGTTCCTGAGGATATGTTGCATGATTTGACTGAAGCCTTAGTCACCATCTGAAATAAAAGGGCAGCTAGTGTTTTGGACTGATTACCTTATGCAACCTGTCCCCTTTCATGGATCCTGGGGCTGGTTTACAGAGGAGCTGAGGGAAATAAAACTGGAGTAGAAATGTCTAGATCATGGATAGGCAACCTTGGCTCTTTTATAACTCGTGGATTTCAACTCCCAGAATTCCTGAGCCAACCAGCCTAGATCAGTGTTGGATGACAATGAGGGATGAATCTGAGTACAAGCTAGATCCCTTATTAATGCCTACTTTGTGATAGTAAATACAGCCACACACTAGTATTTCTCCATCCTTACTGCATTTGCAAATAGTCATCTGATGGTCTTGCAAAAAGCCAACTTGAAGAAAGTGGGACCATATGGAGACTCTCTGGGAGAAATATACTATGTACTTATCAGAGAAAGTTGCTCCAAATTGAGCTCTGGCCTTGACGGAGGTCCCATGAAATTGATTGAAGACCATTCTGGCTTGGTTATCTGGAATGAGGTTGATCCTGCTAATCCTGATTCAGTGGACAGGATTCTTGGAACTCTAAGCTAAGCCACCTAGCTCCATGACTCTCGTGGTTAGCAAAGGCTATATGGTGAATTCTTGAGAGAAGGGCTTTTCTGCCAGTGCTCAGGGAGGGGTAGTTTATTCCTTCCTAAAGAAACAATAGCTGAACCTAATCATGTTGAATAATTTTAGTCCCATTTCCAACCTTCTCTTATCTGGACCCTTTCAATCAGGTCTCAGACTTAGGTATGGGATCAAATTGGCATTGATAGTTGTTGTGGATCACCTCCGATGAGGGTAAGATGGGAGCAGTGTGTCTGTCCTAGCTTTCTTTGATCTCTCAGCAGCCTTTTCTTCTTCAGGAACTAATTTCAGCCAGTGTTGACGGGGAAAAGAAATGTAGCCCATGGTTCAATGCTCTCCTTTTAACAACTACATAAAGCTTCTGTGTAAGGCAATTGAACATATGGGGTGAGGTATCATCAATATTCTGATGATACCCAGCTCTTTCTTTCCATCCTGGGGCAACCAAATGATGCTGTAGAGATTCTACGTTGATCTGGAGGCTGTGGGAGTCTGGACAGAGAAGAGCTGGCAGCTCAGCTGAACAAGACAGGGTGGCTTTGAATTTTCAGGACCTCCTAGATTTGGGGATATTAAATCTTTAGTTTTGGATAGGTTTGGACTACCCCAAATAGGACTGATGTGCAATTTGAAGGTTATCCTGGATTCACAGCTCCTGCTTGAGCATCAAGTGGCAACCATGTCCAGGAAGGCTTTTGCACAGTTTCATTTTATTCTGAACCAGAACACATTGCTTATGGTCATTCATCACTTGATCACGTCTGGAATGGATTACTGCGATGCATTGTAAATGGGGCTGACCCTAATCCAGAATTTGGAACTGATTCAGTGTATGTAGTTGTGGGCATACTTTAGTACAGCAGTCCTCAACCTTTGTGACTTGGCAGCCTGGCTGGGGGGAGATAGGGAACTAGACTGTGCGAGCAGTGGCATACATGTGAACGTGTGCACACACAGCCTTTGCACAAGCAGAGGGCCAGACCTATGCACACAGCTTGACTTGTGTGAGCAGCAGGCCAGCGTGCATGCTTGCTAATTTTTACTGGCCCGCCGTTCATGCAGCCCAATTCGTGCTCCAGCCAGCCATTCATGCAGCCCAATTCTGAATAGGCCATGGCTTGGTAGTGGGCCACCACCCGGGGGTTGGGTATCACTGCTTTGGTACATTGGTCCCCAACCTTTCCAGCTCTATGGATTAGCAGCCATAGTGGGAAAGGGAAGAGGGGATAGTTTTGCACACTCGTGTCGCTTGCACAAATACAGTTTTGCATGTTTGCATGCTCACCCGCCACTTGCATGGCCTGATTCCCAAGGAGTGCGACTTGGTATTATCTGTAGCCTGGGTATTGCGGGCCTCTGCTTTAGTACATTTTCATTATATTTCTGCTCCATGAGCTGCACTGGATTCCATTCCATTTATTTCATTGTGATTCAGGATGCAATTTCTTTCATGGAATAAATCTGGGATATTTGTAGGACTGCCTTTCCCCAATTTTTTTCTGTTTGTCCCATTTGGTCTGGTGGGAGAGGCATGGTATGAGTTGCACTGGTTAAACAATTCATCTTGCTGGATTCAGAAAGCATACTTTTTCTGTTGAAGCACTTATACTTTGGAACACCATTAGCTATTGTGGTTTTATTATGCTTGTTGTATTGTTTTTATATGTTGTCGGCCATCCAAAACTGGATGGTGAAATGAGTGGTCATATACAGTAAATTAAAAAAACTAAACCAAACTAATACTAGATCATAAAAAACACAGTGCTATTTTTTGTGCTTTGTAAACTGAATCTCAGTAAGTTCTTTGTTGAATTTTTACTTTGTACTCTCTTACTATAAAGTTATAGTGGAAGTGATAATGATGATTTAACTTTCTTACTTATAGAAATATTTTTACAGACCCAGTTTTATTGACTATTTTTAATACATGGGAAAATTCCCATAATTCTTTGCTGGAGTTTGCTTTGTAGAAAAATATTTTTATAATGATGTTTTTTTTTAATTTTTGCTTTTCCAAATTATCTATAAATATCAAGGGTCTTTCTTTGTTGCAATATTGTTGCTTGCCACTCAATACATATTTTATGCCACCAGAACAGTTCTTTTTCTCACCTCCTTGTTCTGTTTCCTTCAACAGTGTATAGAGAGGCACCAATCTTTGTGCTACTATTTAATTTGCACAGCAGGATCCATACAATCCAACAAATGGCTGATCTCAATAAAGAAGAGAAGAATGTAAAATGCCTCAAGTGCTCTGCAACATTTCAACCAAGCAATATTGTACTTTCTTGTCCCTATTGCAAAAAGGATTCTTTGTGCTCTGGAGGAGAAACCTCAGATGTATCAACTGATAAAGCCAATGAGAATTTAGAACCTGAAGAAGGCCCCTCAAGAAAACAAGTATCTTCTTTAGAAGATGTAAGCAAACAAAATTTAGACATTTTCTTGTCTCCCTCTGCTCTAGCACTGATTTACTTTGAAATTATTTTCTGTGGCGCCTATATAACAATAATTGCAGAAATATATATACCATGTGACATTTGCCATCTACAAATTATCACCCACAAACCCAGGCAAATATGTCAGGATCATAGCCTTTGCCCTGTGAAATAGCAGTGATTTTTTCCTGAAAAACGTATCCTGCTCAAATCTTGGATGGAGCTTCCTTTTAAAATGGGGATGAGTTTTATACGCAATTGAGTGCTGAGAAATCTAGCTATGGATGTTGCATCATATATCAATTGCTTTATAGACTGATTCATATTATTCCTTCTCTTATGAAATCCTGTGACCACTGTAACTTCTCGTTCTTTTCTAAATAGGCAAACTCCTAGTTACTGACTCAATATTTAGCTGTCTCTTTACTAATCTTCAAATGAGTGTTTCATTTATCATAGTAATTGTAACCAAGGACATCTGCAGGCTATTCTGTTGCTCTTTCCCCATCTGTTCTCTCTTCTGACTGGTTCTGACTTCATGTATTCAAATGGTGATTCAGTTTCTGGAAAAATTCTTTTAATGTCTTGTTAATGTCACTCTAGGTCGGAGTGGAATTCCTAGCATTCGTCAACAACAAACTGATCTGCCAGGTGTAGCTGTACTCTTAAGTTACTCCTATGTGGAAAATAACAAACCTAAGGATTTGCTTTCAGGAATGTGTAATATGTTCAGTTTAATCAAGGCAGTTTAATCAAGACAGACCACATTTATTACAAATACATTTGCAGCCATTTTAAAGCACTGGTTTACTTTTCATTTACTTATTTATATAGAATCTTCTGTATTTATATCCCTAGTTGTAAGATAGGAAGCAACTAAGTGAAAGAAATAAGAAATAGTAGATTACATTAGATAACCCATTTTGGATCCACTTCCCCAATTTTAATTGTTCCATTTTGGCAACAATATTACCGAAGGCCTGAATGGATGACATCTCCAATCAGAGGAAAAGAGATCGGAGAGTAATCTCCTTCAGAGAAGGATTTAATTGATCCTGATAACTGGCTGAATAGATTTTAAAATTGGTATAAAAGGCATGCAGGTATAATGATTCTGTGTACAGAATTGGTTCTAGAAAGTGGCACCAATGAATTTCTGTTTGACCTCACAGTATACTAAATATTTTATTCTCCAACATTTTTCAGTGTTTTCAGCATATGTAGGCAATGGAATAGGTTATCCAAGATTTCGAGTAGGTCTTTTTTTTTTCTAGGCATTTAAATTTGAGAGATACCTTAGTTTTTTCTATATTTTTGTTTTCTCGTGTTGTTTTTATAGATTAAATATATACTTAAATAATATATGATTTAAATCATATAAATTAATTATATATTTTAATGCATTGCCATAAACCAATTTTATGTTTATGGTTGCTTTTAGTAGAATAGAACGATGATATACTAAATATTTTAGTAAAGGATGAAATACAAATATTTTGAAATAAGTAATGAATGACTGCATTGATTTTATAAGAGACTCCTCTTAAAAGGCCTTTTATTTAGTTTTAATCCAGTATAGTGAGGTTTTTTTTCTTTTTTTTTTCTTTTGGGCTGGTACAGTTATATTTTTCTCCTATCGTAATATTGTTGGAAGTGTACATTTAAGAATAGAGTTAAGGCAAAAATTGCAGAAAAAAGGGTAATATATTTCTTCCTTAGTTTCTTTAAAGAGGCTCTCTTAAAATGAAGAGGCAAAACTTTATACAATCATATAAATCATATTTGAACATGCCATGAATAACCAATATCTGAGATAGAAAATGGTATTCAGACAGCATGACAGGAATGGAAAATTTCTGAATCATATGACAAGTTGCCAGATGACCGGCAAAAGAAAGACATGTCATCCATACAAATATTGCCTGGCTTTTTGAGTATCTTTAAAAAAAAACCAACAGCTTTTACAGCAGTGTCATTCAAATTTTCGACAGCGTAGATTTACTTTATTTATTTTATTTCCTGATTTCAGCAATTAGCTTCAATCCAGCCCCTTCAAAACTATGATCACTGATATCTGTAGATCACCTGACTTATCATATATTTTTATGGTGAAATTTGAAAAGTATGTCATTGCTGAAATAATTTCTGATGCTAAAAAAATAATTTCATAGACAAGTACATTTTTTTGCAAAAAAAAATGCTGTATTTTTTTGTTGTGATTGCCAAGAAAGTTAAACAATATGTCCTAGTTTCCCCTCATTTGTACTGCTTTACAATTGTCCGTGTATTCCTTTGCTTATTCAGATCTCTGGTAACCCTACCATATGCCCTGTTCCCCATATCCTGAGATTAACATTGAGATATTTAAGAGGGATTTTGTGGAGTTTATGGTTGAAATGTGAGCTGGTTGCAGTCTTAAAACTCACCAGAAATTAACAGACCAAAAAATGTTGGCTCTACTCTTCACAGTAACACCATCATGTTATCTAATGGCCTTTTGAGTGTTTAGGAGACTAACCCTTGACCTTCAAGATTCCTTGTCCTGCACTAAGATATCAAACATTTAGCTATGAATTCTACATTTCAGGATGGTTAGTAGTATGAAAAACAATATTCAATCCTTCTGGCAAGAAAGATGGGGCATACTAAGTATGGGACTTTTTAGTTTCACTTGTTTCATATGAAACCTATTTATCATTTACTTGTTTCTTCTTTCTTAATTCATTTTATTATAATATCCATAGCATTATGGATGTTATTGTATTTGTTTCTCAGACATTGAAGATTGTATTAATTTAATCTTTAGTTGAGTAACCTATAAGAAAATATGCAGTGTCACTTCCTTTTAATTTGTATGAGCTTCCCTGCAGATGAGTCTACTACTGTAATTCTTCTTCAGTTTTAAAAATTGATGAGAAAATGCTAGATGATTCATGATAAAATGAGACGGTATGTTTTGCCTCTTTGGCTATCTATTTCCTCCTTGAATTTTGCACTCAAAGAGTTTTAAACTATGTACTGTATCGTCAGGAAGATTTTTTAGAATCTCATGTTTGTTACAATTGAAATTATATGTTGCTTTTTATTCAGGCTGCTCTAAATTTGAAATATTTAAGCACAAGCTCAATCGTGAAAACATTCATGAGTATAGACTTTTTTAGTTGGATTCCTCACACATAATTTAGCTTCATTTTAAAAGGCATGTTAAAATTAGCCATTAAGCTTCATATTCATTAACTTGTATAGGCGATTATGTATACAGTATATACATGTGGAGCACATGCGCTGCCATTGAACCATGACACTTAGGGAACATAACTTATCTGCCTGATATTTAAACTAGAGCTTTTTTTGGAGAACACAAGATGAAGTAGGCCTGCTTCAGGAACCAGAGATTATGTGCAGGCATGTTCAAGATCCAAACATACTTGAGGACTCAGTTTTTGGGTAATGTTTTCCAGAAAAGAAAATTAAAAAGAAATGTTCATTGTCAATAGGAATGAGCAGCAGCAGCCACAAGATTCAGCTTAATTCTGAACAGTGATTCAGAAAGCAGACTGAATTTAATCATTCAGTTAAGAGCCAAAACTCCCATTGATTATAATAGGAAATTGATAAACATTTCTGTATTCATTTCTATTTGGCATAATTTAGTTTACAGGAATGGAAGTAATTTATTAGGGATATAATCCTGTCCGAGTACCTACAAACAGCTGTAGATGTTTTGTTAGAGAATTATTTATTGAAGAAGAGAACTACTAATAAACTATTTCTTGACAGAATTGGATGAAATATATAGCAAAAGTGACACAGTACCTCTGATGAACTTAGGTTTTGCAGATTTTTAGAGAAACTAATATAACTACAAAAATAACAGTTGAGAGTTTCCAAAAAAAAAAAAAAGATATATTCTCTCCTTAGTTTCTATCCTTTTTATAGATATTCTCAAGAAAGTTGTCATGCAAATTTCAGAATGGAAGGTCCTCTGTTAAAACCCATTCATTTCGCTTCCTCTTTACCCATTTTGGGAAGGTTATATGAAAATAGAAACACAACAGACATGTCCCACAGCATCAAAACTGAATTATTTCAGAAAAATGGGGGGATTTATGACGTAATGATGAATAAAAAGTTTTTTTTTAAGGGAGTTGTTATCAAAGTCACAAAAATTGCAGTTGGGCATGTGAATGGATGCACAGCAAACAGTGGAAGAGACAGAAGTCTTGGACATACAGTATGATGTTTTCCAAATAAACAGCAAATATAATTATATCTAAATCTCTCCAAGACTAACCAATCTGTTTTAATATTCAAGTTTAAGAAAAGTAACATAACAAATAGCACTGTAACTGGAGAGCCTGGTACAATATATAAATTGAAGTAACAGAGCTGTCTCTTGCCCTTTCTCATCTTTGCTTTGAAGAGATGCTTTGCATTCTTCTTATATTTCTCCCCAAAAGCTCAATGTATCATTTTTTTATGCAAATAAACTGGCTCTGGATTACTCTGAGTCTCTAAAGTACATATGTATACAACCTCAGAAGAGGTCAGATCCTTTGAACGAACATTGCTGTGATGTGAACCACTCCTGGATACATATATGAATCAGATTGATTAAAATTCGGATTCAGCTGATTTTGAATATATTTCAGTTTGAATCATTAATTGAAACAGAGCATAAATGTTTTACAAAATATGAATGAATTTAAATTTCCATAGTTAAATTGATCAAAAGGTGTCCGTGTGGAAGGGAAAGCTCAGTTCCGATATAACATGTTGCAAGAATATTTTCTCTATTACAGAAGATAGATTTATACTGATGTGTTCTTTTAAGCCCATTAAGTATGTCTTTTTAGTTCCCGTCCCACTTCATATATTTTCTTTACTTGTAATAAGTTACATAAAATGTATCTCATATGCTTGAAGCTATTTCAAACAGTATATAGTCTTTAAGCAAGGGCTTCTGTTTTAATTTCATGCTTTTCTTTTTATGTTCCTAAAGTTGTCAAAGGCAGACTTAACAGACTCACACAGAAAAATGCTCGTTACCCCAGGCATTCGTGGCAATATTGCAGAATGCAAAATCCCACATACACGAATAGACGATGGAGCAGCTATTCAGGTTTGTAATTCAGTATCCTTGTGAAATGTTGTTGTAATTTTTAAGTATGATTTTATGATAAAGAGATAATGGTTTAGGATTCAGTAGGTTTGAAAAGAGTTTAAAATCATAATATGGAAATATCTAAAGCAGTGTTTCTCAACCTTGACAATTTTAAGGCATGTGGACTTCAACTCCCAGAATTCCACAGCCAGCAATGCTGGCTGTGGAATTCTGAGAGTTGAAGTCCACATGCCTTAAAATTGTCAAGGTTGAAAAACACTGATCTAAAGTAATGAACAAGCTATTGAATTCTCCAGAAATCATCAGTCTCAAAATTAAACAAAATGAAATGGATTTTGGACTGGCTGACATTACTCTATTTAGAACACATTTTCAAAATATTTGTGTAGGATACTTCTTGTGCTCAGAGAAATTATATCAATCTGGCACACAAACGATCAGATTATTGCGGCTAAAAATTATTCTAGAGATTTTTTTTCCCCCTCATGCTGCTCTGTTTATCAGAACCAGCTTAAATCAAACATAAGGGTACTAATGAGTAATTTGGATAATTTATTCAAGGTAATAGAGTTGACCACATAACTTGCTGTTATTGCAAACTCTGATTTTTCTAGTTAGTTGCTTTGTATTTTTTTGTATTGTTACTCCTGTCCCATAATACTTTTAGCTGGGGCTAAAGGTCTGTCTGCCAAATATTTCTGGATAAAAAAGGCAAGCCCAGGCCATTTCTACAGCGAGGCTAGGAGTAAAAAAGCTGTATTTATACCGGCATTTATTTTTAAAAATAACCAGGTAACAAAAATGGCACTAGATTTAAAGGAATATAAATTAGAATGTATTACCTTAAATACCCCAAGCATTAAATTGGAAACAGAGGGAACTGCCTATAGTAAACATTTCAAACAATGAGGAATTCTAATTATTTTTCTTTTTTAATTCATTCAATTCTATTGTCCCTTCCATTGCCTTCTACTTTGTTTTTCTTAATGCATAAAACATCATCTACATGTAATAGTGCATATTTATCATCTCCCTAATATATATTTGGTGATTTCTTGGAACTAACTTCTAAGTATCTTTCTTCTGTACTTTGTCCTCTTACTTATTTTTTTTTTTTTTACAATTTCTCCTCTATTTCTATAGCAAATTTATTCTTTTGGAAGGAAATTAGGACAAGGCAGCTTTGGTGTAGTGATTGAAGTAACACACAAAGAAACAGGCGTAAAGTGGGCAATGAAGAAAGTGAACCGTGAAAAGGTAGGTATTTGTAATAGACTAAGTCACTAAGAGTTTTTCACCCTCTTGGCAATGATTACCTTATTTTAACATTTAATTTAAATAACCACACTATAATTATGAGCTTCAAGTTTCTACTATAGTTGGGGAATATTGATTATTGTGCTTTTATTATTTCTTCAACATTTTATGGGAGATCCAATAATGTTAATTTATTTTGACTGTAACTGTGGGACTGAAGATATGTCAAATGAAATAAAAAGTTTTACAATGCAGGCTAATATATTGTACAAATCAAGGTAGTTCATTTCAATAAATGTTATGATAAAACACTGCTTTTAAAAACTTTAATTAGTGATATGTAATGATCAAATTACAAAGTATGCGTGTTTTACTCATATTAAATCAAACTCTTTCAAAGAAGATTGTGTAGGGCATAAGAGATTAAATCCTTAAACTTTGAACCAGCAAGTATCACTGAGAAGTGATACCATATTTAAAAAATGATATATGTTATAAAAATGAAGTTGAGGGCTTTCAAAGAAAGAACAAAAATGTGAGCAATGAGCTTTAACGATTTAAAGAATTGTAATGAAAATTGGCAGTTACAAAGTTAACGTATCATAGATACTAACAGTACTACCAAATATATATAGATGTGACTTAGAAAAGACTGAAGCAAATAAGTTCTTTGCTGATGTTCTGGCAAAAATGAATATGGGAACAGTAAATGGATATGAATGAAATTTAATTAACTTTAGGGACCTCATTTTGTAAATATAGGTGAGCTGGATGTTTTAGAGCAGTTTTCAGCATACATATAATTCTAAAAACCAATTACAGACCTTTGCAGAGGCTTCTATAAATATCTAGAGCTTTTATAAATGTAGGAACAACAATAGTTTTGACTGGAAAATTGATTTTGACTTAAAGAACTGATTTCTTTAATTAGAATATTTAAAATATCAATAAGAGCCATTCAGAGAAAAAATGGCTCCTTTCACCTTTTCTACTTGGTATCATTAATAGGAAGATTTCATTAATACTGTACTGTATATACAGGTAAAGTACTTCCTGAATAATGTGAGTTCTGATTTAACTCTATAGTTTTGTGTGTGTAAAGGAGTGGAGGAGAAAGCTTTCTGGCATCTTTCATGTGGCAGGCAGCACTGCCTGTTGAAGGTTCCTGGCAATGCAGTCTAAAAATAGCAGGGACTAGCCATGAAATGGGCATCTCCCTATGTGATGAGAAGCAATTGCACCTAAGGATATTGACCCACCAAACCCTTTCTGTTCCCATTATCTGGTGAGGAAATGTTGGGTAGTTTAGATTAATGTATGCAAACATTGATGTTCATAAGTTTTCCAGTAATGTGAAGTTATGTTAATTCAAGGAGTGGTTGTATATGAATCTGTTTCTAATCAGATAGTTCCTTAGAAAAACCATGCCTAGGGTGGTCACTACTCAAGTGGTACGGTGAACAAGATCAGACAAAAGAGATTATAGTAACAGCTCTAGCTAAGGTGAAAGTGATAATACCATATTTACACAAAGAAAAAGTAACCTTAAACCTGAAGTAAAGCAAGGAGCTAAGCAAGATGGTGGCCACAGAGGAAGCATGGTTACATTGTGGAAAGAGAAGCTGCACTTAAACTAAGTTATCTCAAACTAAGACAAAACTGTAGGAAAAGAGGTAAAGAGGGAAAGATAAGTCAGAAAAATAAAGACTGGAGAAGAGAAAAGGAGAAGAAAGATCTGCAGAGCAGAAAGGAGAATCAACCGTAGGGCGGAGAGGAAAGCCGACTGAGGACAGCGCAATGACTGGCAGAGAAGAGAAACAGGAGAGCTGTTGAGATAGAGGAGAAGGAAGGAGAGCCAGCCAGGGAGAGAAGAGGAGAGCTTATTGTGAACCCTCCAGGCAGCCCTATTTGCTGAAGGTAGCAGAACACCAGCACGGCGGACCAGCAAACGGGAGCCAGGTGGCCATGGAACTGTTGGTGGAAGTGGTGGAACGCTGCAGGACAGTAACCCAGGGCCTATAGATGGCAGCAGACCAGGTGCTATGGATGCTGGTAGATCAGGGCCTACAGAGGGCAGCAGACCAGGTGCTATGGATGCCGATAGACTGGGGCCTACAAACGGCAGCAGACCAGGTGCTACCTGGACTTGATCGGGAGGCCTGCAGGTGGAAACAAAGCAGCACGACAGAAGCAGCGGAGCAGCAGAGGACCCAACTGGCAGCTCGAGAGAACCTGGCTGAACATTGAAGATGGAGCAACAGTTGCAGACAGAGCGGCATAGCGGAGGATGGAGGCAATTGGTAGGAAGGTCCAGTGGAGAAAACCCATCTATTAAACCTGATCAGCAGAGAAAAACCAACTAGCAAACCTGCCCAGCTCAGAAAGACCGGCTATTAGACCAGCTCAGCACAGAAAAACTAGCTGAACATAGAAGATATCTCAGATGAGCAACAGTTGGAGGCAACTGGGGGCAATTAGAAAGATCGGCTGAGAACAGGAAGGCAGTCAAAAAAGCAAGGCAGAGAGGATAGAGATAAATAAGGAGCAAATTAAGAAAAGGAAGGATAGGGATGAATTTTTAGGCAGAAAGCAAAAAGCAAATCCCTTGTTGAGGAGAAAGCAGCCCTTCCTTTCGTTAAATAACCGTATCCTAACATTAGCTTTTAACTTCAATATAAACTGCAATTTTTTCTATTAAAATCATACTTTTATCTGTACCTAAATAACAAGGCAAAAAAAGAGCACAAACAGGCAGAAAAAAGGAGAGAAAAAAATAGGTATAATTACCTAGAACAGAGAAGCTAGAAACAAAGCTAACAGCAAAGCACATCCACCAACCCAAAAGAGGGATTTTCAAACAACAAACTCATGGAACGGGTGACTGATACTATTGTGGTATGCAGTACATGTTCCATGTATGTGCTTATGCCCAAAGAACGCCCAAACTATACATGCATTAGATGTAAACTATGTAAACTACCGGAGGAAAAAGTAAGGAACTTAGAGGCAACTCTAGCCAAACCCCAACATACAAAAGAAAGCTCTACCCAAACTGAACCAATTAATGAACAAATAACTCCTAGAGGATTTAACCCTACTGATAAACCCTTGGAGGAAGACAAATGGAAGTATGTCACACATAGGAGGAAACACAATACTCAAGAAAGAAGCAACATACAACTAACAAACCCCCTTTGCCCAATCCAATCCAACCAGAAACAGCCCCACTAAAACTGAGCAATCGATTTCTCCCCTTAGATGGAAACACGCAGACCCACAACCTCCCCCTCAAAGAAAACATGCAGACGCCTAGCAAAGAAACAATTTCAAATATCCCTAAAAAAGTCAAGCAAGTCAGACAATTTCAAAATCAAGGTTTAAACATTTGGAGTGCATGATTTCCTGCTCTCCCTTGTATGAAATGTGACAAATGGCCTGGTAGCTTTAGAAATCAGACTACAAATCAGGAAACTTCACAAAATATTGTTGACTTGAATGATTGATTATGTGTCGTCACGTTGCTGTTGACTGTTGCCAACCATATTGTCTTTATCATGATGGGTCCCTAATCCAGTCTTTCAGGTCTTCCAACCATGCACTTTTACCAGTATAGCTGAGTCTATCCACTTAGCTGCTCGTCATCCTTTTCTCTTTCCTTTTGTTACATAAAGTGGCATAAGGTAGGCATTTGGTTTTTTTTTTTTTTTTTTTTTTGTATTTTGTTGCCCCAACCAAACATTCAGCTGCACAAAGCTTAGCTTTGTTGCTTCTTTTTGAGGCTCTTACAGTGTCTGATAACCTCTATAGTCTCAATGTCAAGTTCTTTTTGGTAGAAATGTATTTTGCATCTGTTCATCGCCTTGATTATTTATAAAAATAGTAAAGATGGGATACAAATAAATAAATGAAAATAAATTATAAGAACAAACAAAAAATAATCAAATTTAGTACTATTTGCAAAAAAAATAACGCTTTTCTCACATTAAGGCTGGGAGTTCTGCTGTGAAGCGTCTTGAACAAGAAGTAAACATTTTGAAAAGAGTAAACCATGAGCATATAATACATCTTGAAGAAGTGTTTGAGACACCAAAGGTAAGATTTCATAACTTTAATTCCCAGTGTTCAGTTAATATTATATTATGCGGAAAACAAGATATAATGATGGCAGTTAGGTATGTTATAATTAATTTGCTCCTAAATTCTTAAAAATAGTGTTAAGCCTTCCCTAACCACCTTGTTGGGATCAAAACTTTCTTCTCAATTATTTAATGCTATGTTTTCTCTCTCTCTCTCTCTGTTTCAAATTTGTAGCATTCGGATATCTTTTTTTCTGAACAGATTTCAAATAAGCTTGCATATTCTGAAATGCATTTGGTTGGTTTGGTTTTTTTTGCCAATTTAGATTGGATGAATGTCGGATTATTCTTATATTGGTTGCTCTGATAACTGTTGGATGGTGGCAGTTATAAATGGTGAAATGACAGTTGCAGCTAGGTGACTGAAAGCCTATTCCATTGTAAAAAAAAGAGCTGCTATGACTACCTTGCTTTTTGACCCATAGATTGTGGTGTTTGTTATTTGTTTCTATCGGGATTGTTATATCTGCCAGCTTTTCCCTGTCAACTATTTATGTTTTCATTTATTAAATTGTTACTCACCACAATCTAATCCAATTTTCAATGGTTTACAAATAAAATGGACATAACAATAAATACAGTGTAACACACACACACACACACGCACACACATGCACACACTAGACATAAAACATACACTATCTATAACGATTCAGATGCCTTCCGAAAGAACTCCGTCTTCAGCTTCCTTTGGAAAGTGATCAGTGTTGGAATTAACTTAACCTCAAGTGGGAAGCCACTCAAAACACCAGCGTTGCCACCATAAAACACATCTTCCTTCTTGACTTCTTGAAAATTGGGAACAATCAGGGGCCTCTCCTGGCACATTTGCAAATTCCAGTGGGGAGATGCATTCCTATAAGTCACCTGAAATCAAACCATAAGGGTTAAGACCAGTGTAGGGCCTGAAATATATAATATATAATATCATATAATATCACATAATCCCATCTGTGTCCTAAACATCTATAAAGAAGTTTACTGAAGTTTTAAAGGCTTTGTAGAATGCTTTGCTGTAGTCTGGACAAGTGGTGATGTTAGCATGAGTGACTGCAGCTCTCACTTTAGATCCAGCTACAATACGTGTAGCTGAAGCTAGGCAAACCCTCCACCCCCCCAATATGTCCAAGAGATCCATGTGCTGCAGCAGGATTCTGGGATGACATCCAAGTTGTGGCCCTGCTCTTTCAAGTATAGTATCTCTGTATCTAGAGTCATCAGTGGGGCCAAAAGAACACTAACATTCAAAGTATTGGGTGAAAGCCTTCACTGATATTAAAGATTCAGTGTTAAATCTGCAGCCATCAAGAATTTTGGAACATGCTGAATTTGAGAAAATTTGGGAAAAAAACTATCTATTAAAGTTACTCCCACATTACTCCTTCAGTTCAATATTCTATGTAAGCTAAGGTGGTGGTACACAGAAACAGAGATACATATATTCTTTATTAATGTCAGCGAGTGTATCTTGTAATGGAGTTATGCGAAGATGGAGAACTGAAAGAGATTCTTCAAAGAAAAGGTCAATTTACAGAGAATGAGACTCGGCATATAATCCAAAGTCTTGCATCAGCAATTGCTTATCTTCACAAGAAAGGTAAGAATGTTCATTTTATGCTATATTTAGTAATTGCAATTTTCCTATTTTCATTGTACTTTTAGCTGAAAATCATTTTTCTAATTATATTTTTAGCATAGGTAAGTTAATAAGCAGTTTATTCAAAGGTAAGAAGGAAATAGAATATTTCCAATAATCATTATTTTCTTATCATTTCTGCGGACATAAGTTCTAGTCCAGAAAGTTGTTCAATAAACAAATGAGTGGGATGTGTCTTTTCATCACCTCCGGGTTTGGAGGTTCAGAAAAGACCCACAATGTAGCAAGAACTGCTGTTGGAAAGTCAAAGAAAACATAAAAAAATAAAACAGAGAATCTCTTACATGTGCTTTTGTCTTTCAGCCAGTTTGTTTTAATGTTGTATAAAACATTTAACAAAATATGACAAAATATCCTTTCCTTGTATAGTGACATTACAAACTGATGCACAAAAACCAGTGAGGATGGCAATGAAGGTGCTATTTCTAGAAATATTTGGATCCATTTCACAACATACTTATCAAGTTTGGACGTTTCATTTTTATCAATGTGAATTTGGGCAAAAGTTAATATAGATTCTGATTCTTTTTAATCTAAACAGTGATCAATATGAGCATTTGTGTATAGCTTTCAGTAATCTTCATTAAGGGAATTAAGAAGATATGTTTTAGAGAGAGAAGGGCCTTGAGAAGAAATTATATCTTTCTAAAATTATCTCCTAATTTGTTCGGTTTTGAATGGACAGTTGGTAAGACAATGGTTATTCTTATTTGGTCCATACAAGAATGTTTTATTTTTTAGTATTTTTAGAACAATAGGATTCATACCTTCCTTGGGTCCTATCACAAAGCTTTCCTCCAACTTCTTGGATTAAAAATATATAGAATTAGAATCTTTTACTTATGGATGCTGGTGAATTATTATATGAAATCCTTTTCTTACTGTGCGATGCAGTACAGACGATTTGAGCCTCATCTTCAACATTTGGTCATTCATTCATTTTCCCCTTAGTCATTAAGATGTGTGTGTGTGTGTGTGTGGGGGTGTTATAGAGAAGTTGAAGAGAGTATAGAGCAGTGATGGCGAACCTTTTAGAGACTGAGTGCCGAAACTGCAACCCAAAATCCACTTCTGCATCGTCGAATGCTGGGTGGGTATGGGCCATTGGATGGACGTGGCCCATTGGGTGGGCGTGGCTGCGGTGGTAATGGCAGACTGGGTGGGACTAAAAAGTTCAATCAATCAATTCCAACTTTGCATGATCTTTTTTTTTGCTGTGAGACGTTGAAATTGATTGATTGAACCTTTTTTTTTTTTGCACACAGCGGCAGAGGTCTAAAACGAAAAGGTTTTATAAAACCCATCTGAAGGCCTAGGACTGGGGCAATGGCGCACGTGCTGACAGAGAGGGCTCTGAGTGCCGCCTCTGGCACCCGTGCCATAGGTTCGCCACCACTGGTATAGAGAGTTCACACTGTTTTGGAGAGTGTCACGGAGCCCCATTTTATTCCCCCAGGATTCTCAGAGAAATAGACACACATGGAACAAAATACTATTGTGAGATTTGCTATATTTAAAAAAAAAATGCTAAGCAAATGATAGAAAACAGAAAATGGGCAGTTTGTGGTTCAGCTATGAATTGAAATAAAACAGTAGTAGTGGTGAGAAGGAACTGAATAAGAAAAAATGCGCTCACCTGAACTTTTTTAAAATGTTTTGTGTTTCTGAACATAGAAAGCAAACTATTTTCATTTAAAATATTAATTTTATACATTAGTGCTTTTAAAATATTCCTGTGACATGTTATATTCTTTAATGTAATAAAATCTATGCAGGCTTCTCTTTCATTTTATTTGAATAATAGATCTAAGTTTGACCGAGGTTTGGGATATACAGACACTGTTCTTTTTTTTTTTTTATGAAAGAAAGAATACAGTGTCTGCTTGCGTGCATTAATGTAAAATGAAATGCACATAAATTACTCAGTCAAAAGGGTTTTAAAATATTTCTGTCAGAATATTTTTCAATGCATTTGATAAATAACACTTTTACGTTTTGTTCCCCATCTTGACAGATATAGTTCATAGAGATTTGAAATTGGAAAACATTTTAGTTAAAAGCAGTGACATTGATGAACAAAATGAAATGAAATTAAACATAAAGGTAAGAAATTGTAATACTTTGCTTTATACACTACTTTTTGTTTTGTTGTTTTTTTTCAGATACAGGTATCAAAAGTCATTTTTCCCAGTAAATGCCTATTAGTAGCTTTTAAACTGAACTGTAATGGTATAATCAAGCCAGAAAATAAGGTTCTGACATAGCACCAATTGACAGGAATGTGGGAGTCAAGTGCCACTAGTGAAAAACTTCTTATTGAACAAAGAACAGTATAGTTATATGTAAAGAAATGTTTTTAAAAGTATTCTTTTTGTTCACTTTTTGGATAGAGTTTTAAACTGTTAGCAAATGTAAGCCTGGAGATCCATGATTAGCATGAATTATGCATATTGGCAAGTTAATTTAAACATTTTAGTAATTTTGAAAACTATAGTTTTTACATCCCAACGACTTTCTACTATATAGACTTCAGATGAATATTTATTACCAAAATGCATTAACTGACTCAAGAACGTACACTTATTTATTTATAAAGAAATAATTGGCCTTTAATAAATATAATTACAAAATGCTTACTATTTTTATAGTTGCTTTAAATGACTGGGAGGATTTAATAAAATGTCTATAATGATATCTAATATTAGGGTACATTTTATGGGAATTAAAGCCACATATTATGATCAAGTGTATTTTATCTCCATGAGTGTTCTGCATGAATCAAGGTTTCTCTTAGGGCTAATTTATGCTTCTCTTCATGCCTTTTGATTCTGCATATCCTCCTGCTTGCATTTCTGGGGAGAAATGTATGATCATTCTTGGGTTTGAGGAGAGGCATATTTGTGTGTTAAAGTAGACTGTTGTTTTTCTCCTGTTTCAACACAGTATTGACTATGTGTTAAGACTGCACAGCCTTGCTGTGCTCTTTTGGCATCAGTTTTCCTGGACAGTTCTGATGAAAACGTTTTAGAAGAAACAGTGCACCAGACAAAGCATCAATGCCTGAAGACACAATAATGTAACTCAAGTAGCTGAGATTTTCAGAAATATGCTGGCAATGTTAGTTCTTCCATGTTGATTTTTCTTCTATTGCATAGCACTTTGGCATAATCCTATTCTTTTGTGCCAACAATAGGTGAGTGCAACATGTTGTAGGCACAATTATCCAGCCTCCTTCTTGTCAGGATATATGGTTCCTGAGTCCAATGTAGCAGAATATTTCCCACAGATGCAGAAATAAGCTCTGTTTACAGGGAAGCAGGGACCACAGATTACCTCTCTTCCTGAGACAGGAAGAGAAAAAAGGGAAAAGAGAGTAAATTGGACAAACCTCCCTCCCTCTTCTCCTTTCTGCCTCTACCCACACAATAGCCCTTTCAAGGGAGATGTTACCAAGCAATGGATTGACTTTTTTTTTTTTTGCCATATAATATGCCTGGAAAGAAAATGGAACACACTTCCCTAGAAAGTTGAGGACATAATTTGCGGTAATAAAAGCACCAATTCCATTGCTCTAGTTTCCATTCCATAATGATATTTGATGATTTCATGAATGTTTTTGTTATTTTCTTGACAATAATACAGATTTAGGTATCATTTTTTCCTGGATATTTTTTGACTTCCCAGTCTCTCTTATAGATGGAATTTTCTGTTTATCTCTCATCTAAGCACTCAACTAGATTTGCCTTTGCTTAGCTTTTTTGAGATCAACTAGATGGAATCGACTAATACTTATCTATTGCAGACACCATGATTGACAGGAACACGACTGACACATGATTGACACTGTGTATCTCATTCTGTCCTTTATGTCTGAAATAAAAAATACAAAAAATGGACAATACTTTGGCAGCCCTCTGAAAGCAGTCTATGAAATATAGGCTGTAAAGATCCTTGGGTACTTAGATTCCCTGAAGGAAAATATTCTCCAGCCTCCCTCCCTTTTCCTTGTTGCTTATTTGTTTATAGAATGTGTACAAATAAAATGTATGAAATTCCCCCAAGTTGAAATATTCACTTAGTTTCTAAATGTCTTTATTTCTATACTGGCTTCTGCTCAGTATTAGTATCTTTTATATCACATACTGCATTTGGATCTTTAAACATTGTGAAATTATAATTATGTGTCTTTTAAAGGTGTTAATGTACGTCCCATAGCAGCATTTGGTTTTCCTGGCTATTTCTCTTGAATACCCACCTTGCTTTTGTGTATGCACAAATGCAATTTCCAAACAAAAAATTGGGAATATTTATGGAAACCTTGATGCAGAGTTTTTGCTTAATGTGAACTATTATAGGAAATCATTTGAGATTTTTTTAAATCTCTCACAAAGTGGTTTTGCTCTGAATATTGAAATCTTAAGAAGAATAAATACATATGTAAGAAAGAAAACGGTTATGTTTCTTACAGGTAACTGATTTTGGTTTAGCTGTTCAAAAGACGGGAGGAAGTGAAAGCAGGTTCCAGTCTACCTGTGGGACTCCTATTTATATGGGTAAGTCCAGTACTTTATGTAATATTTTCCATTAAATCTGAACTGATTAAAATAATATAATGAATTAAAGTTTTGTAACTATCAATACATGTGTACGAATACGTTGGATGCTATTAATTTATATATGTACAATAATTGCTATGCGCAGGGCTTACGGATACATTATTATGATATAAGTTTGAAGCTGTGCAATTGTTGTTAGTTATAAGTATATTTTACCAACAGAGTTTCTTCAAACAGAACTGAGTAGAATGGAAATAATGATGTTAATAGGTACTGTCGAGAACAGAAGTTTGCTTCCAATATTAACATTCAGAAGCACGCTTGGTACAGAGGGCTTTCCTATTCCTCCTCCCCCCCCCATTCTTCTGCATTTTGGGGAGATCTGGAATCAGAAGAACTGAGATATGGCATGGGAAAGAATGAAATGACTAACTATTGGAAGAGGTTGCTTGTATGAATAGTGTCAAGGTTAATGTAAGCAGATTTTGCATGATAGTAGGCAAGATCACATTATCACAACATGGGTCTGTTTGTGCTTTTTTTGTTGGAGATGAAATAGAGGAGAGCAGGAGTTTGCAATCAGAAAAGCAAAATGCCTTACTGTATCAATGGATTTTTACTTGCACAGACATTTGTATTCCATTTTCATAAATTTACTTGCAATGTTTGATTCACTTTCAAAGGGATTTCTAATTGGGAACATTGTTCCATATTGGTATAAGTAAGCATAGTCTTTGAGTTCTTAGAATATTGCTGGCAAGTACAATACGAGGATTGAAGTTGAATTTAAATGAAGAGTATTTATAAAGACTAACACTTCATCTATTGAAGCACTGTATGAATAATTTATTTATTTATAAATATATTGGCCGCCATCTTACCATAGGGTAACTTAAGTTAAAACATAATAACAACAACAACAACAACAACAACAGCAGCAGCAGCAATCCTGTTATTTTATAAAATGGTGGCCATGAAGCTCCCTGTTCTACCTAGCTTTAAAAAAATAATAACAAATAGGAAATTTGTAGAAGAATCTTTAGTTCCTACAACATTTCCATTTGGATGACAGAAAGCATATTTGATGACCATTTTCATTTTGGAAAATTCCTTCTGAGACTAGTCATGTCCACTATGGCTTCCTTTTTTTTGTGTATGCCCATTGTTTAAACTCAACATCCCACATGACCTCTCAACACAAACAGGTTACTAATTCCTATTCTGACACTTTTACTTCTCACTGCATGTCATACTATTTAAAATCTGCTCTTACAGTATATACTAGGGAAGAAGCCTTTCCTACTTTAAAACTGATATATAAACCTATGTATTTGTTTTTCAAATGGAAATGTATTTGTGTGGTATTGTAAAGGATTTGAAGTCAAGATTTTAGGAACAGTGTTCAGAATTTACAAATAGGAAGAGTACAAGCAACAAAATTAGGAATTATGATAATCGTGACTAACTAAACGATCAAAGTGAGGATATATCATCATGAATTGTTTAGGGCCCTACATTATTAATATCAACATCTGCTACTTTTTGATGGGTGAACAAAGTGTATCTCATCCATACTGCTTTCTTTTAAGTAGTTAAAAATATCTATATTTTTTCTTTGTGGGCAGCTCCAGAAGTGATAAGTGCACATGACTATAGCCAACAGTGTGATGTCTGGAGCATAGGTGTCATTATGTATATGCTGTAAGTAGTTTACATACAATAAAAATATTTTTCCTAAAGAAGACAATATTTGTCAATTATTGATTAGTGTTTTACATTAGTTAAATTGCCTCTGCTGAATCCTTTCTAAAAGAAATTATTAACCTCAACTCTTGTAAGTATTCTTGGATCATAGCTAAAAACATGTACTCTGTTCCTATCTCCCTCTGTCTCTTTCTCTATGAGCACACAGTTTTTTATTTCTGTGCTATGTTTGTTACATTTAACAAAATGGAGTTTATTTGCCCGAAATGTTATCTTTGAAAGCCTTTGTTTTAAGTGGATACACACTATAATACACATATTTTTATTTAAGGTTAGAATTGGATCTAAGTCATACTTCATGTGAACCTATTGAAATTGTGATTAACTTAAATCTCATTTATTATAACAGATCCCCTTTTAATATGACCAAATCTGGATCCAAGTTACTATCTATAATACTTATAGGCAGTTGTACTTTATAGATCTTGGGTTACTGTACTATTCAGTTATTTATAAATAAGACTAATATTTTAATCGAATAACGAAAATCAGAAATATTTTATGCAGTATACTTGAACAGTAAAAAACTTCTAGTCCTTACATTTATAATTCAATTTGAATTCTACAAATATGTCTAAATTGTAACAAGGAACTCTCTTTGATGGAGAAACAAGATGGGACCTAACATTGTTCTTTTTCTTTGTTGGATTTCATTAGGCTGCCCTTCTTTAAAACATCAATATTGGCAACTGAGAAGAGATCAGTCAAGTAAAAAGAATAAACTTCTTCCCAATAAAGTTAATACTTCCCAAATAATTATTCCTTCAATTTATCCAATATAGTTCTTGTGCATAGCACACAGATTTTACTTTTTAAAAAATGTGTAGATCATGCTGTGTTCTGAAACTTTTTAATACCAAGACAGTACCAATTTTATGATCACAGTTTATTGTATTAATGTTGCCATGCCATTTTTGCACAATATAGCATAGCTGAATGTATTATACATTGGAGTGGGGTAATTTGATTGGAAAGTAAGAATTCCATGCTGCTTCTGCAATCTGTACAATTCACAGAACTTGTAAAACAAAGAGCACCGAATTGTCCTGATTTTAGTCACAGTTCAGGCTTCATAACATTATACTTTAATTAACATATAAATATTTTAAGTTGGAATTGTAGAAACACAGTAATATTTTAACAATGTTACTTTATATTGCCCCTAACTGACACTTAAAAATCAAACTTGATAAAACTTAATAGAATATACATTCCTTTTATTCTATTTGGAAGATATATTAATAGACACATGAAATATTCTTTAATTTTTGTACAGTTTTCATAAGCAGCTCATTCTACCATTGTTAGCTTATCTTTTTAGCTATCCTTGCTAAGTGAATGTTTAATGTTGTTATTGCTAACTGATGTGCCTAGTAGTTTTTAATGGATCTATATTAATGTATTAGCTGCTGAACCAATTGTATTAATAGAGATGGCATACCTTCTCTTAACCAGCATATCTATTACAGTACACTAAGCTTGACCTTGTTATCCATAGAAAATCCAATCCTTCAAATACAATATTCATTTTACAATGAAATGTTGAGTTTCATGGATACTTTTTTGTAGTAGCATAGGGTCTCTATGGTGTATTTTATTGTAATGTAGCTGCAATTTATGGCCCATCTCTATTTAAATACCGACTAGTAAAACAAGAGACAATTATCTTTTTATTGAGTTCCTAGTGGGCTGAGTTTGTCATGCCCTCATGGATCACAAATTTTACAGGGATAAATTAGCAATATCTCTGGTCAGTATTTTTTTTTTCCACAGTATTCTGGAAAACAACTATACTTGCAAATAGGAACATATTGGGAAATACTGAAATACATCTATTTCGTATTAGTTTTTGGTAATGCTTCTCAAAATGTTTTCTTGTTCATTTACATTTTAATTTCTAACCTCAGTTACCTTTGTTTGTACTCCAATAGTATCATCATCATGGAGTTAACGTGGATTGACTGCATAATGTAATAATAATTTTTCCGTATATTGTAATCCCCACTTGACTGGGATCCTCTATGTGACTGATTCAGAAATGTTGCTTTCACCCAGTCTGTCATTTAATTTTAATGATAATAATGCCAGTAAAATTAGGTTAGATGACCAATAGTATGATGTCACACTTTACAGCATGATTTCCAACTGGGTGGATCATTCATGTAACTGATCCAGAGAAGCAAAAGAAGCCATAACCTACATTAATACAAATATAAGAAGAAACCAGTAGTTCTGAACAGATTTAATAAACAAATATCCTAAAAAGAATTTTGTGGAAATATTTTAATCCCTGTTTCCTGAAACAAGTTACTATGTTCTAAATTTGAATGAGCAGTTTAAATCCCTGTATCCATATACAGACTAGGGGTAATTTTGTAAGTATCCATTATGTCAGCCCTCAAGACTGCCTCCCTTTCTGTCTTTCCAGACTGAGCTTATATTTTTCATAATGGCTGGTTCATACTTCTTCAAGGCTACTTCTGTACTCTGTTTATAGTTCTTCAAGGCTACTTTCATTGGTTATGAATCCTATTTAAGCTAGAGTTGAATCACTGCAAAAAGGGATATTTGGTCAAGCTGTAATACAATATATAACTTCTTTGAGCTTGACAGTTAAGAATTTGGAATTGATATTTGATGCTTCTTTGCCCATCATATCCCCATTCTTCCTTCTATATTTACTGTTCAACTGGATAAAAAATACTGCCATAAACTGAAAAAAATACAGTATACACATGAAGCTATTGGTAGAGAACTAGAGATATATTTCAATAACTGAAAAGATTTTTTCTGTTACCTCTCCAGATTATCTGGTGAACCACCTTTTATGGCAAGTTCAGAAGAAAAACTTTTTGAAGTTATAAAAAAAGGAGACCTTCATTTTAAACAGTCAGTCTGGCAATCAGTCAATATAGCTGGTAAGTAGATAACTGTATGACTAAAAATCCATTGATAAATAAAATAAAAGTGTTGTCAAATCACCTTCTACCTTTTAAAATCACTAACATGATCCTCATTGAAGTATAAAGAAATTTCACAAAACAATTACTGAGTAGTACTCTGCTGGGTTAACATACATGAATACAATGGAGAGATGTATCTTTTACAACTATTAGAAATTAGGTTCATGAATGTCTTTTTTTATAGCTAAAAATATATTGCGGCTACTTCTGAAAGTAGATCCTGCCCACAGAATCACTGCAAATGAACTGCTTGACTGCCAGTGGATCACAGTAAGCTTTATTTCATTTTTCTTTTAAACAATTCTAATTTCTTTGTTTGCAAAATTAATTTTTCCAGTTAAGTTCAAATGAACATTTACTTACCTACATGTTATATACATGTTATATACCTATACGTTTAACATATTCTAATTAGAACAGTTTAAAGGTGAAACCAGATTTTATTAATGGTCCAGATAATTTCATGCTATACAGATATTTAATAGCGAAAAATTATTCTACTGTAAAAATTAATCCCTTGATTCTAAATGGTAGGCAGCACTTTTAGAAACTGAGCCCTGTGACATAATCAGGATAATGTATTTAGCTCCTTCAAAAATGAATAGTAACACATCTTCATTTTATTTGCTAGATCATAAATAAGCGAACATAATACAATGGAAATAATCAGTTAAGGGCACAATTTACTTCCTCAAAACAATTGTCTAAAAATGTTCTGCCTCCACACATAAGCAAATAAAATCTCCTTTTGCTTTCAGTAATTTGCAGAGTATGTATTCATTTTTTTTCAGTATATTAAGTTTAGAAACTGCAGAAAGTTCCTACAGCTATAGAAATAATTATTTCCATAATATCCATAATACTCTCCTATTTTATACAATTCTATTTTTTTCTCAGTCTTTTAGAACTTCTACAATGGTGGAGATCCAAGCTCTAAATTCCTCTGCCAGCTGCCTTGGGCTGCTCAAGCAAAAAGGGGGGGAGAGATTTTGGAGGGACCTCAGAAAGTTGCGAACTCACAAGAACAGCAATTTTCCCATTATTCATACTTGCCAATAACATTAGGGAAAAGTGTGGCAATCCTGGAATTGGTCAATTTTCTACTCCATTGTAAACAATGGGAGGAAAATTAAAAATTAAAAAACTTACAAAGAGAGGAAAATGCCAGCTGTCCTGCTGACATAAGCCCAGTTGAGTTCTGAATAAACAATTCTACTTTTGGTTCTTGTATCCATTGGTGTTGCTTTCTTTTGGAAAGGGATATACTGAAAAGGGATATAATGAATCACAGTAATAGTCATAAGAAGAACAATTTCTATAGAAAATCGTATACAGCAAAACTAGGTTTAATTTTAAAACTTCCTCTAAGTTAGAATTTATATATATAGAATTTATATATATTCAATATATAAATATATAATTTATATATTGCATGGTTGTGCTATACAATTACTAAGATTGGTGGGCCTTTCATAAGCAAAAGTTAAAACTATAAAATACATGAAAATAGTGGAGCAATATAAAATGAAAAAGAAATGTCAACAGTTCTAGAATAGACCTAGAATGGAATTGAATGGGTTGAACTGTGCAATTCTTGGTGCTCTCTGAGCTTGGTTGTTTGCTTGCAGACCTTTCTTGCCCAACTGGGTAACATCATCAGTGCCCTGTTTATGTTAGTCACTGATGATGTTATCTAGTTGGGTAAGGAAATGTCTGCAAGCAAACAGCCAAGCTCAGCGAGTACTTAGAACTCCACAGAATAAATTTAATGAAACTCAAAAGCCCAGTATAGCAGCAGAGCATGGATCTAAGAAGTTCTTTTAATAAAAATGAAAGGCAAAATACTTGGAATTACCAAAGATTGTGCATCTGATGTTGAAATGATTGTGGTGTGGATGCCAGTCTTATGGAAAGTTTATATTTTAGATTTATATCAGTTGAGCTAAGAGATTTATGATGGGTGAGGGGGAATCAGGAAGGTTGAAAATTTATTGGAATAATGTTGTGAACAAGCAAGGATAGAAACAAGGGGAAATGAGAAGAAGCTTTTCTTCTTAAATTACAGCAACAGATAATGTAACAAAATTTAAAATTTCCATAACTAACTTTACATTGCTTGGCAGGAGCATCCAGAGAAAGATCTCAAAATAAAATCTGACAGCCTAAGTACATATTGATCCTAAGCCATTTAAGACTTTAAAGATTAATATCAGCACTTTGAATGGGGTATGGAAATGGAGAAGAAATCAGTGCAAATTATAAGTAATTGTGTGAGGTTACCATGGCTAAGATAACCCATTAACTATTAATTTATCTGATAATTAATCTGAGTTATAGATAATTCAGTTTCTTTGTAGTGCAGCATAGGAAAGCTAAAATATCAAATGAGAGTTTGCTATCCTAACAGTGTTAGAAGAAAAATGGTTAAATATTAGTTTTGGACATAATGTTTACAATATTGTAATAATAGCTATTGTAGGAAGACAATGACTGCATCCTTAGAATTTTCTATTTCTCTCTTTCAATGATTAATGAACAAAAGCCTTTGAAGAAAATAAGATAAATAATTGGCCTGTGCTTGTGAACTTCATTAGACATAAATTTATTATCTATCTTATGAAAGTATAATTTACTATGTTTTGTATCACATAATTGGTTTGTACTTGATGTTGATTTTCTTGACATCAAACATGGCTGAGTGCTACATTTTTATTTTCAATACCATGGTTTTTCCTTTCACTATTATTAAGCACTGAGTATGCTTTCACTAGTTTTGTCTGTTCTGGTCATTATAAATTGTTTTAACCATTATAAGCTCAGCAATTCTGCAATGTCTTGTTTATGGGCATATATTTAATTTTCTTTAGTAGCCAGTAAGTGCTATTAAAGCCTCTTTTTCTGTTACTGTAGGTTTTTGTTATTATTTTCTTAATTTTTGAAGAGTTTCTTCAGCAAATCTTTATTTTTTTCTCTTGGCATGGTCTGGGAATATTGCCATTCAGAGGCAAGTGTTTGAAGATCATAAAAGTGGAAAATGTCTTTCTGACGTAAGCTGAGTGCCACATGATGGAGGGGCATATTGTTTCAATCTATGATTTGAATCTTATTGACGTGCCCTTTTTAAAAATCTGGATGAAAAGAACTTGAAGGAAAGACAAAAGAAAATGAACAATCTAAAAGGCAGCCAATTAGTAATCCTCCACTTTCCCCATAATTAGCACCAGATGCTAGCAAAATTAAAAGCAACAGGTGTTCAAATGAAGCAATATAGCAATTAACTTAAGTGGTTCCACTTTCTTAAAAACTGTCAGAATACAACCATCCTATTTCATGTGCTATTTAAGTATTTGAAGCCCTTTAAAACATAGGCTTGTTTCCCCTGGCTACAACTCAGCCTCTTATTTGGTAGGTGTGATTTGGTGCACTTAATTACCTGAATGTGCTTGCAAATAAGGTAGTTATTTTGTTGTCTGAAACATCAGTTTGTCTACTGTTAATTACAGAAGTAAATTTGCATCTTCACAACTGGGAGTTCATATCTGAAAATTATTCTATAAATTCAGAAGTACTAGGCATACATTATTTAAATGCATATAGAATTTTCTTTGTGCATGTCTCTATTATTCCAGTCCTTATGTCTAGTGTTTAAGGTACCAGGCTAGAAGCCAGGAGTCTGTGAGTTCTAGTCCTGTCAGATTGGTGATTTTGAGTCGGTCACATTTTCTCACCCCAACTCTCCTCATGGTTGTTGTTGTGGGGAAAATAGGAGGAAGGAGTAGTGCGTGTGTTCACCACCTTGAGTTGATAATTATAATAAAGACAGTATTAAAATCAAATGTTTACTTTTGTCATAGATCACAATAAAAAAATCTTACACACACGCATGTGAACACAAATCTAGTCTAGTCCTAGGTAGGCAGATTGTGTCATGATACCACCACCAAATAATTTTTTGGTCTTCATACTTCTGTTACGTTAATTCAGGCATGTCAAACTGCTGGCCCGCGGGTTAGATGCGTCACGCCGAAACCGCGCCACCCCATTGCCGGCAATGGGAAAAACCCCGCGATATGTCACATGACGTGACATTAACTCAAACTGAGGACAGGAAGCTGTACCTTCGTTCTAAATGGCTATGCTCTTTCAGCTGTTCACAGCTCCAATTCCCTACATAGTAATAGAAAAAGGGTTGTACTTTTCATAAGGACAAAAGTGCTTCTTTGCTGCTTGTGAATGTTTGCACTTGTGTGTAGCACAATATCTGTGGGGGGTCATTGTCTCAGATACTTCTTTCTCTATTTAAATATTTTGATACTTTGCAACGAGAAAGCTGACGCTGAGGGTAGGTAGGCTGGAATGGTACAGTTATTCTAGAAATATTATTGCTTTTGAACTATAAATGTGAAGCTTTGCTAATAATCCCAGTGCTTTTCTGACAGAATTCATGAAATTTTTTGTTGCCAGGAAAGAGGCAAACCATATTTGCAGATACTGCACGTTTCACTTGCAATATCAAGATTGAGTTCTGCTGTTCTTATTTCTAACCTTGATCATTTCCAATAATTTATGATAATTTTCTTCAGGTATTCTTAACAAATATGCAATATCTAATTATAGGGCAGAACCTGAGCCTTGGCTGAGAGATCAGCATGCCACCAAAGTTGCTGCCCAATTATACTCTTAAAATGATGGAAGGGAAACATTTTTGAAATGGAAAATAACTTTATGAATTTATATGTAAATAATTTGGTTGTAATTAAATGCCAGTCAAATGGATTTGTTATCCCGTCCAAACTACTACTTTTTTTCCCTAAGATGTACATTTCTGAAATAAAACATAAAACATAGTGGGTGTTGGTGCAGGATTTTTTTTTCTGATGGAAACTCTTAAGGAGACCTTTTTCTCCAAAGAGGCCAGCTGCACAATCTGTCATTCCTGTGCTATTTATAAGCAATTTCTGGCATGTTCTGGTCATAATGAAAAAGAGTTATATCAAAAAAGTACTCTGTTAAGTTGGTAGTGTTCTTATTAAAAAAGCCACTAGTACTCTACTGTTTTAATTTTCTATGTTTGTCTCTGTCTCTCTCTTTTAAAAGAGAAAAAAAATATTTCTTTGGCTTACTTGCACTCTAATCATTGGCTTATTAAGAAATATAATTTCTATTTAGAGCAGTGTAGTACTGTAGTTGCTCGTCTATTTTGTTCATTTTTCCTAAAAAAACCCAAACCTTTTAAATTGGTTGTTATTGTTTAGGGTGAAACAGACATTGTTCAAAGGCCATTTAATGTCCTTGAGTTAATGAAGAAGTGGAATAACAGTAGTAGCAGCACTACAGAAGTAAAGGTTTTTGAAGATGGGCTAAATGGTGCATCACCTGCCTCACAACTGGAAGAAATTCGTGGAGAACAAGATAGCCCTGTTAGCAGCAATGGCAATTCAGACCCTAATATAGAAACAGAACCAGAGAGTGGGAGCAGCAAACCCTCAACACCAACAAAACAAGTAAACTTAAAATATTTGTCAGCTTAAATGAAACAGCTAAGCACAGAGCTGTGTTAGTCAGCCTGATATCTCTTTTTATGTTTGCAGCTGATATTTTCCTTAAAATCAGTTTGTCCTTTACTTTTTTTTTCCCCAGACTAGCAAGAAAAAAATTCATGTCAATGTTTTACCAAATGGGACTTATAGAAAGAAGAGTTCAACTGCCAAATCAACCTCCAGTGTAAGCATATTTACCCAACCATCAATTTAGTTTATGTAACAGCCAACTGTAAGCACTTGCACTAGGCTGGGATCCTGGATGATCAGTGCTCTATGTTACTAGAGTTGATAAGAAAAATGCTGTTATCACAGAAATCAGAATGTTTTCATGAATTCATTTTTTTCAAGTGAGGTAAGTATAGATGTAAGCCCAATGTAGCCCCACAGTTTTTCAGGACATGTTCATATGCTGAACCAGAAAGATTTTTACTAATATCATAGCACACGTGAGTAAAAAAGAACTCTAAAGCAGTAGGTGGAAAGTACTTCACCATTGCCATGTTTCTTGGGGCTTGTGGGAATGGCTTAGCTATTCTAGCTCTGAAGGATTGACTTGAACTGAATAATTTATTTGACCATGTGTGATTAGACAAACAAGGAATTTGTCTCCAGTGCAAAAGTTCTCGGTGTACTCTGGGTTATAGTTTTGCTGTGCAGATTTTGTTGCTAATTCACATTTTAGTTTATTTGATTTACAGTCATTTTGAGCTATAACTACATCTCTGTTCTTAATGTAAACTCCTTCAAAATCTTACCAATGAAATTTTGTTTCAGCAGTAACAGAGAAACTATGTACTTTAGCTAAATGTTATCTCCCATGTTACATTCAGTATTTGACATATCTTGTTTTTAATTGTCTTATTAAGATTCAGAGTGCAGTTGGATCATTGTCCCCAAGACTAGTTGCAAAACGCACAGATAATCAAGAGAAGAAAATTGAAATAGAGAAGTCTTTGACCCAAGGACTTTCAAGCAAAAATACACAAAAAACCAGTGCCCATAGTGGCTTACACAAACACAAGAAGAAATCTTAGAAGAATCCCACTCTTCAAAATGTAAGTCCTACAATGTAACAATTGCCAGTGCCAAAATGTGGCAGCTCTATAAACAAAAGGACCAATATACCTTGAACTTCTATACTTGCTGTTGTTGTTGTTGTTATTCTGAAGCCTGTAATCATCAAGAGAAGTCTAGTTTCAGAGTAGTGCTGATAAGTGTTCTAAAGCAGTGTGAATTCCCAAACTATGTGAGGGCTTCCACTGATAGTATTACACTCAGAGCAGAGAATTGTGTGAAATTTCTGTCTTTTATTTATTGTACTCTAACAGGTATCATTCAGGCAAGCAACTAGTTTCTTTGAATCCACTTGTATTTGTCTATGATTACTTTTTATTGTCATAAAAATTTGTGAAAGGAGGAAAGAAAGTAAGAAGCCAAATATGTAATGACTAAGTGATGAGGCTATTTTTTAAAAAAACTCACTGCATTTTGCACTTGTCAGAAATTGATAGGATTTTGTTTATAAAACTGTAGACATTATAACTGGTGTACCAAGGTCAATTAAATTTGTTTCTAATTCTTTATGCATTATAGTTAGTTGGATAATTTACTTAGAGCAATTGTAGATATTATGAAAATTGCCAAGGTTAATCCTGCTGCTAAAATGCTTGTGTATTGAAATAAAAGCGATCTTAGAAGAGTGTATTTCACATGCTAGTTCATCTTCATTTTTTTTTTAATAAAGATGGATTGTTTCTGCTAAAGAGAAAATTAATTGTGTGTATATGTATGTACGTATAGTTAAAGGTCAAAATATCTTAATACATTTGTTACATAATGCTTCAAGTTGTACATTCTATCAATTTTTCACTATGTATTTATTCTAGTTCAATATTTCTGTTGGAATCAGGTCAATGGATAGGCTTCTTTCAAATACTGGGTGCATTTATTTTTGAATTTGTAAAAAATCCAGTATTTACTTACCATGAATATCAGCAGCATTCCTGAGTTGCGTGTTCTCCAATGTGGTAAGGTGCCTTCCCGCCTTCTTTCTTTGAAATTTGTCAACAATACTGTGACCCAGGTAATATGCAAGCCACATATTCCACAAAGATTTCTAAACTCAGGAACCTCTGATGACATCAGTTAATGCTATGTTATGCTTACTAACCCCTGCAAAAAATGCTTGAAGACTTTAAAGTGCTAACATTTCAGATGCTCAAAATACCATTTGGGATTTAATTGAAATTATTGAAAACAATAATTTGATATGCAAATAATTCTTTATATATTGTATGTATGTATGTATGTTAGCTGCAGTAATTCAATCTGGATTTGGTGGCCTATAAATCTAAGGAGAAAAAAGACAGCAAAAAAATCTGATACAGCTGACCAGTTCCCAAATAGATGGTTGTTTTCCTTTGCTCTTCAAAATTACTTTATTAAAATAAAATCAAGAATGGAATATTTTGTTAAACTAGTGAAAGCATTACTAACTTGAGCTTGATAGTCATAATTTTTATTAAAAATATGTTTGGAAATTCTTCTGTTGAAATTAATTTATTGTTTCCTATTTCCCTCCGATATATTAAACTTTTCACAAAGCAATCTCTGTTTTGATGTTGCATCTGATTTTCTCTCTAATCTGTTAGGACACAGGAAGAGAATTTCAGAAAGCTCATATACATTTGGCTTTTCCTGACAGAAGCACCTGAGGTCCCCTTTGTCTTAAAAGACTAGATCCAGATGCTATTAATTCTCAGTGTTAGTTCCTTCCCCTTAGTCAGAGTGCTGCTTGAAGAAGTCAATCCCTCAGAGTTGCAGAAGCACCATTAGTTCATCTCAGGTCAGTTTAATTTTATCATAGTACTTGTTTCATGGCAAACTGATGACATTATGTTTCAGGGTGACTCAGTTTTGTGTTTAAAGAAGATATTGATGATTATAGATGGATTTTTTTAAATGAGCAAAGCTAACAGAAATTGTGACCTCTGTTGTTTTAGGTTCATGAATGGATAGCATTTTATGCAAAACAAATGGATCTGTAAAATTCTCTTACAACTGTGAAGACTGAATGCAAAGCTTTTGCTTTGGTATCATGAAATGTACAAAAGGTCATGGTTTTGAAGTTGGAATGTCCAGGTTTGAATTTCCACTTTATTTTGGTTTATTAGGGTAACCTTATCTCTCTAATCAAACTTGTTTCTCTTGAGGCCCCAGGAGAAACAATGGAACCACTTATTTCCATTTAAAAATGGAGCCATTTATTTCAGAATGTCACTTAGTTCCTTAATATTTTTTGGCATTTTCATACTGTAATTAGGTAGGTTGCCTATGCTGATGCCTGCACAGCTACTAGCAGTCACATCATTGGGAAAACTCTGGCAACTCTGATTTGACAAGGCCTCAACCAACAGCATGTGATCCCTTCAAAACCTGCCTCACTCGTTCATCCTATCTATGTGAACATTGAAAGCTATAAGCCAGGGGTGTCAAACTGTTGGCCCACGGGCCGGATGCATCACCAGGAAACGGCGCCTACCCTATTGCTGGCAATGGAGAAAAAGCTCCGATACATGGCGTGACGTCATGTGATGTCACAAGTTTGACATGTCTGCTATAAGCCCTTTGAAGAAAGTTCTGGTATTATTGTTGTATAGAAATGCAACAGTGAACTGTTCTGCTTACATAAAAAGGATAGATTATATACCAGAACTTTACTAATTGGTCTTAGGCCTAGGCAAAAGAAAAGAGATGATTGATTTTTTAAAAAAACTTTGGATTGTGGTATATATATTTGGAAGATGTGACAGAAATTCTTGAGGCCTGTTTTCAATGCTTCATACATTAAACTTTTGAAATAGACACGATGCATTAAAATGTCAATTTTTCTTTCTTAAAAAATCCTGTTTAGGTACCATCTAAAGATTATTTTTTTAAAAAATCCACACAGTTATTTATATTTTTTCATGTGCATTTTTCCTAATTCATGTATTTTTGAATGCAAACTGTTTTGAAACAGTTTTCCCCACATTATGCTCAAAGGGTAAGATATTTGACAGAGAAAGGTAGAAGAGAAGAAACAAGGGATCCTGTTCTTATTTCATTGTAACAACTGAATTTGAACTTTTGAATTAAAAAAATGAATTGTTTCGATATATTGTTTAATTAGATTTGAGTACTTTCGGCCTATTTTAGCCTAGCCCTGCATCTGTTGACCTGTACTTGATTCTTGACACACTCAGTGTCATCAAACATTTGAGTTGCAATTGATTCAAGAAGTGCATTGGGTTCTCCATTAAGGCAGGAATGGACAACTGAAGCAAACTCACAAGAAATCCAGGTTCTACAGGTAAGTAAAACTTGCTGAAGGAAGTAGAAAGCTATAATCAAAGAATTTCAGTAATTGTTGAAGAACAAGCCAGTATAGAAAAAAATAGTCAAACTCTTTTGCAATTTGTTTTCCTCCCCATTCTATATAATGGACTAATTGGACTTCTTTTCTGAGCTAGATGGTCTGTCTCTATCTGGCCTTTGTTTTATAATGGTTATATTTGTGATGACATTCTGTGATCATCATGTGAAAACTAATTCTTGCAAAAGGCTATCAAGGGTCTGTGAAAATCCTTTCAAGACAAGTCATCACACCCAGGACAGTCCTTAGTCTTTATGTTAAGGTATTATAAAATAAAATCTGCTTCTTGACTTGTCAGTAATAGGAGGATCTGATCCAATGTGCTTAGTTGTATCCATTGTGAGTTCAGAACTTTTTTCTTAAAAATTTTATGGTGAATCCATCTTCAGACTTTGGTGAGTAATGTTTAAGTCAATAAACCATAACTATCAAACTTGATGTCATAGCTCAGATATTCAGTATCCTTACAGAGCAACCACAAGCTTCTTACAAGCTGACCTTCTACAAGCTCAGGTTCAGCACCAGAAGGAGAAAAAAAAAACCATCCCATAAACACAGGCTGTTGACAAAAACATTTGAACTAATACAATTACTTCCTCCATAGAGTTTTAATGTGTAGTAATGACACATTCAGAAGAGTGGGGAGAATTGGAATGACCAAAACACTCCTGAGACTTTAAGTACTGACATACCTTTTAATTTCAGCACAGCTAGTATTGGTTCAATCTCAGTCTTCTCTTTTACAAGGCTCCCCTTCCCTTCCTTTTAAAAAACTTATTTTTTACTTATGAGAGTGCTTAGAAAGGACGGGAACTGGCAGGTCAAAAGCTTAGCAAATATAGTTCTAACTATTGTTAATGAAGATTGTCAAGAGAAGTAAAAACAAAATAAGCAGATTTGAGTAAGCATGTTCAAAAACTTACTCTATGCAGATACATGGAGACACTCTTTAAATTTTATCACTCTTCAGCTTCTGATTTTTTTTCTTATTTAGTTACAACTTTATAAGCTTAAGAAATACAGATAGGATTTTGTCATGCTGGAGAAGTTTCCCTAGACATAATTTTTAGTTTAGATTTTGAATAAATAGGCTTGAAAAGACCCATCTGATTTATGAATCAAAACTGATGTTTGCTAACCCCAAGCAATGCTTTCTTTGCATTTGTCATGTGTAAATCATATGCTGAAAAGTTATGTCTTAGATCAGAAAACTCTTACAAAAGTAAACTCATATATTTTACATGGATCCTGAAAAGCATTTAGCAGGTTACTCCATGTTGAGATAATAAGATATATTGAATTAATATTTGATTCTCTGAAAGTGTTTACTTTACCTATCTGGCAACAAGCTTTAAATTCTGGATTTCTAAACTTTGGCCAGGAAGGTCCAAGGACATTCATTTTTATTCTCCATAACTTATAGGAAAGCCCAGCTGACTCATCTGGACAGATTTGTTTTCAATAATTTTATTAAACATTAAACAGATAAAACAGATAAAAAACAATGACATTTTGTCTTCATAAGTACAGAAACATTTCCCCCCAAAAGATAAAAGAAGAGATTGTTTAAAAAACAACAACCTTCCTCTTTCATCACCAGCAAATATATTCAACATTAATAAATTATCACTGTCTCTTAAAACACAATCAAATACATCTTTATTCCAGGTCATGCTATTTTCTATAAATTCATATCTAAATCCTCAGTTTCTCTTATTAGTCAGCAAAAAATTCAGTAAAAATTAACAAACATGCTAAACATATAGTCCCACTTTCAACCTAAAAATCTATTTTCCCCAAATAACTATTTAATAATCAAGTCTAATCTCAACAATTAAACACTATAAAAATTAAAAACTATTCAACATATCACTTATTCATATAGTAAAAATACTACTATAAATAATACAAACCATATAGTTATTACAAACAAACCTATTACACTCAATAAAACATTTCAACAGAGACAGTGACCCATTATTTGAATAACCATTTATATACCAAAAATAATAACCTAGATAATGTAGGCAAAACAAATACATCCAACCAATAAAATTATATATTGAACAACACCAGAAACAGCAACTCATTATTTAGCCCTAATCAAACAAACCAGTTTTGCATTTTTTTTCTTCTTTCTCCTGGCAGTCTTTAAAACACATACATAAAGTTCTGATGCCTGCTTTCTTCTGCTATTTTTATCTCTTTTTCATAGTCCTTGTCACCTTTATTAAAGTCTACTTGCAGTTTCAATGTAGCTCTTCTAGCACATCTTTTAGATTTCAATTTAAATAATTAACTCACACCATATAAGAGAAGGAGAGACAGTGCCTGGGAGCAGAGTTAAAA